CAAATTTTAGCGATTTAGCTCCTTTAACCGTGTTGCCAATGATATACTCGGGAACTAGGTTTTACTTCCTTCGGTTTCCTCCCACTGCTAAAGACCCCTACGCGCAAGCGAATTATTGAAATAAAAAATTGAACCATGTGTTAGTCCCGAAATGACCTAGTTTGTGTCGAGTGGACGTTAAACCATCTCTCTCTCTCTCTCTCTCTCTCTCTACCCTCTCTCTCTCTCTCGGTTTTACTTCCAATCCGAACGCCTAGACGATATTTCCCGTTGACATAGGGAATTCAGGCTGGAAAATACCAAGGAACTTTTTCAGCCAACATCGGGATCGAACCCGGCACCTCCTGGTTACAGAGTCAGTGCATACTCACAAAAACCAAGGCTGCCAAGGCTGGACATCCTCGAATCATCACAATGATCTCCATTATCATTGTCGACGACATCATCTTCAGCAAAAAATTACATCATCGTCACTCGAAAGGTATTAGTAATGATATTATTCTTTATCATTCAGAAATGTGTTGTATAATCGTTGCAATAATATATTGAGCATTCAGTCAACAGAACTACAAGCACCCATTTTATGTCATTACGATTTACGTAACAGATTCAAAATGTCGGTAACCATAAATCATCTAACAACAGTCACCCAAGATCATGAGAAAATGAATGAGTTAATTAAGGACATCAGTTTAATGCTCTTTAAAGAGAAGAACGTGTCTAAGCATACAGACAGAGAAATATCCCACAACCCATCGTATCCTGTATATATCGTCATTTTAAACTATAAGCTAATAGTCAATAAGAATCATTTTGACCCAAGTATTCGCATCTTTGTCAACTTACGGTCAAATAAACGCTTTCTACAGCTGACAAATCGTCTGTCAATAATAGACAACATTCCACCAGTAAGCAGTACACCTTGTTCTACACCTGTTAGAATGTGACCCGAGTCAATCAGTAGAAAGGCGGTCACAGTTCTCAATCCTTTTCAAATCTTTGAAGCTCAGACGTCTTTAGCAGCCATTTTAATTTAGGTTTCTGCACGAAAAGATACATGAAGATTGGCGATTATCCCGTCTTTATAAACTTACAGAGGTAGTGAGCCGGGTTAATGGAATTCAGTTAAATGTTAATTTTTGAGAAAACAAGTTTATGTTTCGCTTTTTCAAGCATTTATTAACTGCGAATTATCATAATGCATCATTTTGATATATTGCCAGTTAATAAGTTTCATAGATTGATGTGGTATGATAGTCGAAATTATTACTATTTCGTTTCGTTTTAATTTCACACACCAATTCTCATGAGACTATAAAGTTAAAGCAGTGAAGGTCTTTATTGTCAAGATGGGGGCGATATTTTCCCATAAGTTGATTTCGAATGATTTTCTGCAATATACCTATAGTACTTGAAGCGGGGATTGGTCGAGTGTGTTAGGGGAGGGGGTGTACCATTAAATTTATAAAACATGAAGCCTGAATTGATCAACAAAGTAATGTAACATACAATTCCTGTGATGTTTAGAACAACTTTCTTGTCTTAGACCATGAAAAGGGCTCTCACCACAGTAGTGGCATCAGCAACTTTCGATAGCGACAGGAATAGGTACTATAGACCTTACATAGAATTCAGACGTATATATCTGTTCATAAGTATACTGTTGAATGCATTCTGCGCATTATTATATTATCAAAACAGTCGCAAACTATATAGCGATCTTTGGAGAAATGTCAATGAAATCGAAATTATATTCTGTGTGATTGTAAGATTATTTCCTGACCTGAGATTAAATCGTTTGTGTCCTGAGAGATTATCCTATAAATCATCTTACTATCTCTGTAGTATCTACTAGTAGTCTAACATACATCACATACTGTTGAAGCGATGTAGTATGTCCTAAGACTGTTCGTTGCATACCAGTGCGAAATGATTTATCAAGTTGTCTCGCGTACTTATTTGCCTTGATTGCTCTGTATATAAGCAGGTAAATGCGCTAACGTCTGATTAAACGAAAATACTATAGCAGATAAACCACCAAACCACGGTGGCTCAGTGAATAACACGTTGGTCCGCTAACCTGGAGCTCCCGTGATCAATCCCAGTGTTGACCGACAAAGTCCATCGGGATTTTCCGGGGTCATGGTTCCCCCTTGTCAGTAGTGTAGGACGGAGTGTCTGGCAAGGGACAGCGTATAGACGTACGGATCGGACGAAAAACTGTAAACAAACCCTTGACAATTGGAATTCGATGTAAGAGCAGGCCGTATAGTGCCGCTGTCCGGGCAAAATTTATTTCATAGCAAACTGTATGGTGTAAGCCCGTCTTCATTTGCCCAATCGGTGCAGAACAGTGGGACGTTATACTCTATTTCATTTCATTTCACCAAACCAGATTTGCATATTCCCGTGAATGCTGCCACTTGCACGATTATCTCCTTTAATTCGACGGTCAAGCGCGACGTATTTTACTTTATGGAAATATAGCGGTTTGATTGGTTATGGACATCGATGTAATGATGAAATGAAAAGAAATGGGGTTTGTTCTGCTCCGTACTGGGCTAATGAAGACGGGCATACGCCATACAGTGTCCTATGAGGGAAATTTTGCCCGAGCAGCGGCATTACGGCCTACTCTTATATCGAATTCCAACAGTCAAGGGATCATTTACGTACACGCCAATGTGTGCACGGGACCTCGGTTTTCCGTCCCATCCGAACGACTAGACAGTTGTCCTTGCCAGGCCCTCCGTCCTGCATCACTGACAAGGGAGAATCACGCTGGGAAATCTGGATGAACTTTCTCGGCCAATGCAGGGATCGAACACCAGACCTCCAGGCTAGAGAGCCAGCGTCTTACCCACTTAGCCACCGTGACCCCCGGACATCGATGATCGCACGATGTCCACATGAATATTGGCCTTATTACAGGTTTCTAACAACATTTTTGCACCAGTCAAGATGGAATATGTCATGATATACTAGCTTAATTACTCACAACTGTGGAGATGGTTTTTGGTCTATCATGTTTGTTTTCATGATCGTGTATCTATAAATTGGATTTATCTATTGTATTAACATCCCATGTGCATGTTATATACTTTAAAGGTAATATATACATGCCTTTAAACAAATATTACATCTTATAATGTATATTATATATATATTTTTTTGAAAATATACAGACTGGACTAATATTTGTATTATTGAATAAAAGTAAACGTTGTATTTGAATCATGATGTTTGTATTCTAGTTTGTGATTTTAAATTCGTCTGGTACGACGGTTGACGAATAGAAAAGAAAATAGTTGAAAAGCTGTCTTTGAAGAAAAGTTCATCTTAACTCGAGATCTTCCCTCTTGAAACGTACAGTTCATGCTTGTTGACTTGTTTATAGTTACAATATACAAGATAATACTTGATGGCTGTTTATTGTAGCCGTTAACAAAGGCAAATAATGAATATTATTAATGCTACAAGTGGGTGCTTATATTGTTTATTGTTAACACCAACACCCCCCATTAATGAATTATATTTATACTAGCAGTGGATGTTTATTGTACCGGTTAACAAACCCCATTAATGAATATTATTCATAATTACAGTGTACACCATAATATTAAGGTATTGTATCGGTTAATACACCCAATTTAATAAATATTATTAATTTTTTTCTAAACAATATTTATTCACAAAAACTGGATTGTAGAACAGGCAATGATTAGGGTTTGCAAGATAATACTAATAATGTTTATTGTAGCAGTTAACAAATCCCATTAATGAATAATATTTATACTATAAGTGGATGTTTATTGTACCAGTTAACAAATCCTGTTAATGAATATTATTTATACTATAAGTGGATGTTTATTGTACCAGTTAACAAATCTTGTCAGTAATCTAACTCTTTTTAGAACACCGGATATCATGTCTCAATTATTTGGGAGGATCTGCTTAGGCAAAGAATTATAACACTAATTCTATGGTTTAGTCTATATTTTTGTATTCAATTATGAGGCGGATTCCAGCCTTTTTTTCAAACGTGAATGTATTTTGTAAGCTTTAAAGGTTTGTAATTTTCTACGAAACAAGACGTATAAAAGGGCCTTTAAAATCAGTTTGAACACATGAACAAGGGGTTAATTACAGTTAATAGTAACAGTTACCACGAAAGTGTATCAATTGCCGTGGTGTGAATGTGAATAGACTACAATTATAAGTTAGGGAATAAAAAAAAAACTGAAAATGTTTAATGGTCCATATCAATTAAAACCCCATTCATCGAGTTGCAAAGTCAAAATATAATCAGCAGCCAAAACGGAGCCCATTACAATATCATCGCCTTAATAGGCGTACATCATTTCAAAATGGGCACTGCGTAACTTGATACTGAAACACTTGTTCGTTTAAGATATTTTTTTAAAATTATAATCAAGTGTAATTTCTCACAGTCTTGTACAATCGGAGTATGTCCATGGGTATACATAACGGTGGAAGGGCCGCGAATTTTCGAATCGTGTCACTAAAATCTATCAGTGTGAGTATAAAATACTGCTATCGTTGATCTATTAAACGGACATTATGTAAGACCCAAGGGCTAAATCTTCCTATTGCAGGTCTTCTTTGGGTCTTAAATGTTATATAAATTATTAATTAAACATTTATTAACATGACAAGACCATAATCAACTATCGATGCCATCTGACCTCTCCGACTGTAAGTAGATTAGAACGGTTCAGCCATTTAATGATTTAATTTAAAAATGGAGAAGCGAGCTAGGCTCTCGAATGGCCAGTATACGGTGGTTACGATCAATGCACACATCTTGTCAAAACTACAACCATTGATAACTTCGCTCAAAATAAGGTAATTTGAATGAAATTTTCAACATATTCTTTTTTTGAAATATTATAGCGAGAACAGCCAGCTCTTTTACCTAAAGTATTCTCTATATGTCTTATTGTCAAAATAATTAACACAATAATAACATAAGCCATGACTCACAAAACATATTACTTATATATTAAAAATCTTTCCAACATACATTAGGTAAACAATGTCTTGCGTACATATTTATACATACAAAACTATGCAACACTATACACAAAAACTGATGACGTATAGACATACAAACGCCATCATAAAACATTACAAACAACACATGGAATTTACACATCACGTGTAACAAAAATCTGCAATATCTGGAATGGATTTTCACGTGGTGACCTCTTGTACCGAGGTCATGGTGTATATAAGAAGCTACGGGTGCCAACAATGGTACCGTTACTTTCTTTCTAATAAATATATCGTTTCTTTTTATATCCCCTTGTATCTAGATAGATATAAGCTTTACACATTAAAAAAATCTTATTTTCAGCACATATTAACAGCTTTTCGAACTGAGTTCACAATATCAGCAATTTCAACAACAAAGATAGAAACCAGTAGAAATATCAAAATAAAATAGATATCAGTTGATTAAAGGGTATGTTAATTCAGCGTCTTTATTTTTGCTCTGTGGTATTGGGGGTGGGGTGGGTCTTTTCTTCGAAATTAAGTTTCCACATTTTAGTAATAATCCTTGGTTTACATCACAATGTTAAACGGCTATGTTCGTTCAATGAACATTTTATGTTTAAAGAATGAACATTTGGATATAATAATGTTCCACATAACAATTTATATAAATAGATTAAAATTATGTATCTTGACTGTATAATGTATAATATATATGGTATAACCAATGTCCCTCTCTTTCATAACTCTGATTCATCCTTTATTTGGTCTTCTTTTCTTCTTGTGATGTTGTAACTTTTCTCTCCGTCGACGGACGTTGCTTCTCCGGCGCTTCCGATTTCCTCTTAATAATTGTTTCACCCACTTTCTCAGGCGGTGACGACCACTTCGAAACTTACGCCTCCTGCGTCTTTTATGTGGGTTTCCTGCCGGAGATAAAGGGAGCCGAATTAGTTCACTATCACTACATCAGAATTATATCACTATTATCACTATATCACTACATCATTAGCACAATATAATAAACACTATCACAATGTATCACTAATATCCCACATTTTATACTTCTCTTTAGAACACGTTTCCTTTTTTTTCTGACATACATATATATATACATAGAAAAATAAATGTCAATGGTCACAGTTTACAGATGTAAACTTCCAATATGCAAGTATACATAGTTTGTATGTAAATAATAATTATATATCGATTAGTTCATCTTTTGCTTATCACATTCTATACTATCCCGTCTTTAATCCCATCTTGATATTAAAGTAAGAAAATATTAATATAATGTAGATAATCCCATGTTGATATAAAGTAAGTATTTATATATAATAGAAAGACTATGTGAGACGAACTAAGATTACTAGTAGAAGAAGTTCTATACCTGTCAAAGTTTGGAATTGACTCTTTCCCCCTGAATTCCAAGATTCTTTGGGATGAAGTGGTTTCTGTGTAAGACTGACGTACGGCACCAGGGGTTCACGTAGGAAACAGAATTTCTCGGTATTATATTTGAGTTTCTGGCAATTATAATCCTCGGTGCCGTCACAGTAGCAGGAGGGTAATTTTTTGGCATTTTTCTGTCGATACAGAATTTCTAAGCTATTGTTACATCGAGACGAACAAGTATCCCCGGTAAGAAGTCGTCCACAATGCCGAGCGTAGTAATCCAACGCCGTTAAACAGGAAGTGTCAGCCTCACAGATCCATTGGGCCAGGTTACATCTGACCGGTCTGTTGTTGTTTTTCATGTTTGCCATGGCTTGTAGGACATCTTTGGTACAGATCTCAACCCGAACTTTCCTCTCTTCACAGAATTTGTTACCGCTGCAATTACAGTTAATAAAAGACATGCCTGATTTGTCTTCTGTTAGCAGAAGTGATATTAAGGCATGCTTACAATCCGTCGTACATACATTAGTTTCCCCATGAATGACTTCATTACAGCCCACAAAGAAGTTGATCAGTGCCATCCGACATCCATCCCTTGTCGAGCATTTCAATCGCGCCGTATCACATAATTCTATAGCCTTATAACCGCACATGCAACCCGCAAGAACACATATCACCAAACTGTACGTCCGCACGTGCATTCTACGTCAACCGAGTGTGACGCGCATGAGGCGTGACCGTGTTTTGAGGGGTGAAGATTTTGATGAACCAAGATGTCTGGTTTAGAAGATGTTTACACTATTTTACTGTTTATTATACACAAAGTAACACTTAACTTATTGTTACCCTCAGCCTCCATAGAATGCATTGTAACTGTCACTGATGTGGAGTTTCCAAGGCTAAGACCCCGTCTCATTGGATTGGTTCTATTAAGTCTGCCATTAATGTCGTCTGTCATTCTGTAAACACTTTAAAACTTTAAAATTCATCCATAATCTACGACGGGTTAAGAAAAAGAATCTGTTACATATACACTCATACATCTACAGAGCAAGATGTTATATTGTATTGCTCTGACCTACACTGTCTCTCAATAGTCTATTTTCAGATGTATGCATGTAAATATACAAGTAGAAGTAGATATAGGCTTAAGCTTTCCCCTATATCTTACTTCTTTCTTCGCGCCGCCGAATGCATACCAACGACCAATTGAAACGAGAGTAATTGTAGGGTGTGTTGACTGACAGCCTACCGTAAACTGCCGATACATTGCTTTTTACCGTTAATTAGCTCACAAAAAGTCGACTCATATTAAATGATTGATGACGGACAGTTGCATTAGGCCCCGCCTTCTATACACTTCTTATTTCACTAAGTGAAAAACTGAGTTCGCCTCATAACTGGTTGTAATCTTAGCATAAACAGGTTCCTTCCGACTACAAACATACCTAAATATTTATGAACGTATATTACTTCAAAATTGCTTCATAAAAACCTTCGATGGACGTACACAAGCGTTAAAATTGATGCATTTGCCAGTCGACTATAACATAGCCAGTTATTAGGTCTATATTAAAAAACATGTTGGCTTATTAAGTGTTAACACATCGCCCGATCTAAACTCGATGTCAGATGTAATTTAGGTGTAAGTGTGCATTAGGAATAAAAAGAACAAAAATGTTATTTAATTCATGGTAATACAGCTAAATATTGACAAGAAAAACTCAAATTTATTTCCTGATGTCAGATTGAGTTCGGTGTATTATTATTTTATTGGGATAATTTAGAATGGTGGTTGCACTTAAATGAATAAAATGCACTCTGGAATAAAACGTATTAAATAAATGCCATTCTTGCAAATATTTGTTCAGAAAATAAGCTGACATATGTCATGTCTTAAAATAATCTGGAGGGTTGTATAGTTTAGTTGTCAACGTACTTTTTTCATACTTCTCGCAAAATGTTGAGGAAAAAAGCATGACATTTTGATGGAAGAAATGGCGTCTTATACCTCCCTTGATTAAAAATTGTGAAAAGCCAACTCTCTATCAAGAAACCATGGAAAATCATTGGCTGTTTTTTTGTTGGGTGGGGTGGGGGTGTACATGTACTCTTGATTGCGGTCTGAAGCTATATGGAGACATGACGTCTTCAAAATGGGAGGGTAACGTTATAGCGTCGTGAGCATGGCACCGACTCAACGGAGACTCCGGATTCGATCCCGGTGTTGTTCGAGCAAATTCCTCGGGATTTTCCAGTCAGGGGGTTCCGGGTTCGAGTCTGGTGTTGGCCAAAAGAGTTCCTCGGGACCTTCCAGCCTCGTTGTCCCTTGCCATTTGTGGGGTCGGGTCAGGGGCATGAGGAACAAGATCCCGTCCGGGTCCCCAAAAAACAATATTTATATGTGTGTGCGAGGAAGGGGGAGGGTCTCTGCCAGTGCCGCCGAGTAATATTGGGCTGTGTGGAACATGCTAGAGTCGATCTGTAGCTTATCTGACCCACGGTATATGTTTCACACTGGTTAAGCATTATGATTATGATTATAATATTGAAAACCGTTTAGAAACCGCGTGATTTTTGTCATTTGCGAGGGGGCGCAAAAACTCAAAACCATGACGCAAAGCGCGTCATTACGTCCCTCTCACTTAGCCCCTGGGTCGGGTGTAAGTAAAACGGTATAGTCGTTCGGATGGAACCCTTGACAGATGAAATTCGGACGAATCTGTCATCATAGCACACTGCACGGTGTATACCCTTCTTCAATAGCCCGGTAATGATACTGAACGAGGACGTTAAAACCGATTTCATTTTATGTCTTCTAAATGTTTCCAAGGTGGAGAACCGGTGCAATTTTATACCAAACTTTGCAAGCAATCGGTATTTTGGGGGGATAATGATACTATTCGTGCTAGACAGAATGCTTAACGATTAGATAACATCCGAGAGCTTTAATCCGCTCAGTTAAATAGACAGGATTAAGGGATTATCACACAATGGTAAATTAGACGAATATTGAATGCTGTAAGGTGATATATAAGTATAACAGCTATATATCTTACACTGACCTCTAACCTCTGTATTTTGACGTGTAATATTATAAGCAATTGATTGGCAGGAAGGGATATCAAGTTCAAGTTTTAAAACTACTTATATTACTTTCTCTGACACGAGAACGGAAGAAAATATCATTTTGCGTAACTAGGACTACCAGTATTAGAGTACTGTACTTTCCATTCGCATACACTAACGATAATCCATGGTTAAAAACGACTAACGTCTGGAGGCTATTCAAACCTTCCAATATTTGGAACTGTCGCCCATTACAATAAAATAGTGTGTAGTTCTGGTAGAATAATAATAAACGAAATCTTATTTATCTGCTCCATACTGATTAATGAAGATGGGTATACACCATGCAGTTTGATACGAGCGAAATGTTGGTCATATTTGGATTGACTACTATCAGGGGTTCTTTAACATCCTGTCAAGGGGTATAGCATAATAAAGTGAAGACAGTTAAACGAAGAGTATACCCCAACCCCCTTCCCCCACACACGCACACGCACCCCCCCTCCCCACACACACACACCAAGGGACTCTTGATTCATTGTCAGCAATATTCATCCTTGAAGTCAAAATTCCACGCGGTATTCAAATTTCTTTGCTGTCAGTAGAAGATATAATTTGTCCCGACTATAAGCAGTGCAGGTGAGTGACAGGATTATCTTACTTTTATGGAACATCTGGTTCCACTGCTCATTTATTTACGCGGTTCTTGTGGGTAGTGGCTAGTGGTTTTGGTTTGTGTTTGTAGTTTTGGTAATGCAAGTATCTCCGGAGTTGTCGAAATCTCAGACAGTACGAACGTTTGATCCACTATCTGGACGATTTCTACACCTGTCAACGTAATCAGATCATTCTCCATGTATCATCAGACTTTCTCTGACAAGGTAAAAAATTGAAATTGTATCAAATATTTTGGTAAATGGTAGCTTCCAGTAATCTCTTGACACCAGATCTTCCTTAGGGATGGATAGTGCCAAAAACTTGGTTGTGAATAAAACTGTATTCTTCATACATTGTTGCCAGGTCTTGGGCCTGAAACTGTTTATGATCGTGATCTTGGAAATGTCTGATTTTTGTTCTTCACAGAATATTTCGAAAATAAATGTGTACTTTAGTAGTATAGTAGATTTTAAGGCATGGTATTCATTAGAAATAATAGAGTTTTAGATTGAATGCACCCCAAAACATATTCTCATGCACATTTCTTAACTGAACACGTTTGGTTTATTTGAGCTTATAACACAACTGAAGTGATTTAGCTTTATTCGGGAAATCAGTACCTTCTGTTTGCACATAACTATTTGTTGAAATATACACGCAGCAATCTGGTCGTGGTTAGAATCGTGCAGATTCGTTTCCCGTCATGATTGGGGATTTGAAATGAATTTATTGAGTCTGGGTTTACCTTGGTATAATGCTCTTAGTACTAGTCCATTAGGTTCGTCTAAAATGAGATGTCGGTTCAGACCTAGTTTTATACGCGGTGCAGTTTGAAATTTCTTACTGAACTTCCATTTAGGGTGCATGTGTAACTAATAAGTGCCAGTTCTGTTCCGCTTTAATATATTTAGTATGTGTAGAACATGAGAAGACTAATGAAATCCAGTGCTGATATACGATGCTGGGAGATGGTTTGTGCTCGGCGGAATGGGAGGGGGGAATCCCCCCAATAATTTGGCCGCAAATACTCTTCTATTCACGTTATTGCACACAAGTAACTTTTCAGTAACTTAACTGGACGAGGCCTGATTTTAACATAGAAGCGAGACTTCTAGAGGTAGAACGTATACTTTCAGAAGAAAAAACTCTGATATGCACTATACTGATCCCTGGGTTAAGAGCTCCCCAGATGCGAGGGTTGGTCTTAAATATTTCATTCCATCTCACTTCCGTTGTATCTATGACAGATTGGATAATTAATTGAAACACGACGGGATAGAGTTTTTCTCAAATGAAATGAAATGGGTTTTAACGTCCTACTCTTCTGCTCCGAACTGGGCTAATGAAGACGGGCATACGCCATACAGTGTGCTATGATGGAAATTTTACCCGGGCAGCGGCACTATCGCCTACTCTTATATCGAATTCCAACTGCCAGGGGATCTTTTACGTGCATTCCAATATATACACGGCACCTCGGTTTTTCGTCTCATCCGAAGGACTAGACAGCTGTCCTTGACAGGCCCTCCGTCCTGCATCACTGACAAGGGGAAACCTCGCCGGAAAATCTGGATGAACTTTCTCGGCCAATGTAGGGATCGAACACCGACCTCCAGGCTAGCGAGCCAGCGTCTTACCCACTTAGCCACGTGATCCCCGAGTTTTTCTCACATTCTATATCAGGGGCTATAGTTCTAGAATGGAAGTTCTGGTGCGTACCAAAGGGAAACTCATCCTTAACACATTAATTGGCGTCTCATGAATCGGACAAAATTTGTCGCCTCCTAAGATTCACAAACTTTATTCATATTTCACATTTTGCGTGAATGGCAGGGGGCATAATTCCGAACGGATGCACACCAAACTTGAACTAATCCAAGAACTAGTGATACTTAACACTTGTTTTAAGTTTCATTGAAATCGGATAAAAATTGTTGGCTCTAGAGGGTTCACAACTTTGTATTACATACTTTTACACTATTTGCGTAAAGGGGGGGGGGGCGACAATTCGACGGGAAGTTTCGGTCCGGTTTTCAGGAAATTCGGAATCAACCATTTATTATGGTGTAACGATGATATATATGAAAGGTTTTTACGGTCATTAAAAATTGTGACCTCTAGAGGGCCCACGGGCTAAAAATGTGATTTTTCGTACAACCAAGGGCCATAATCCAAGAAGTTACGGTCCGATATGCACCAATATCAACAGGAACCGAGAACTTTGGGTTATAAACATACATTGTAAGTTTCATGAAAATCGTATAAAAATTGTGACCTCTAGAGGGCCCACAATCTTGGTATTATTATGCATATATTTGTCTAGTTCAGCATCACAGGAAACAACCATCGACAACAGTGCTTTCATGGTAAGGTTAGGGTGTTCCCGGAACAGAATGACCGCGGAACACTGTGTATCGATAGATTTCGTCCTCTCATGAACCCTGTCTTCACATCCAATTTGAAAAAAAATCTATCGCGTTCCCAGGGTTTTCGCAA